TCATTTCCCCTCAGGTTCAACGCCTTCCATCCAGACACCAGGAAACCAATGCACCGAGAATGTGGGTTCATCCGCCTCAAACCTGACACTAATAAGGTGGCCTTCATCAGCGCCCAGAACACAGGTACTGCCTCTTTGGGGAAGAGAAGAGGTCCTTGTCCTGCGGTGCCATTCATCACTCTTCTAGAAAATTATGGGACCTCTTTAACAGTTCCATTTTGTTTATTTTCATTGTGGGCTCAGCACCAAAGAGCAGCATCTCCCCATCCTGCTGCTAATGAGCTTGAGCCAAAAGCGCCATGTTTCTAGGACTGACTACATGGCTTTGCCCAGGCAGCAAGGCTTTCTAGCTTTCTCAGACAGGAGAGGACTGCAAATCAAAATATCACTCATGAAGGAGACTTGAGGGATATCCTTTCCTAGAATGGTATGTTGGTATTTATACTTTCTAAAGCTTTTTGAAACAAAAGAACCCCTCAATTCATGACAAGAACTGCAGCCTGGCCCTTAATCATGGCAGGTGATAAGTGGCCACTGCCATTCTTGTTGCCTTCATGGTATCCAAGCGTGGTTTTGCAGGGAGAAAGGGAGAACTTGTACAGATAAGACACGCCATTCCCACTGTTCCTGTGAGTTGGCCACAGCAGACCCTGTGGTAGAAACAGAGGGTGTATGCCTCAGGTCATGAGCTCGTCTGTCCGGAGTCCTCCTGTTGCTAGCATAGCAGTTGGCCAGCTGCTCTTTCTGAGTTCAGCGTCCCACTTAGATCATTGTTACTGATGTTACCACTCACCGTGTTTGATTCTGTGGTGCAGAGCTTGTGGCCCTGGCAAGGCGAGGCTGTGGTGGTGGTAAACCTCCTGTGCGACCTCTCCTTCCCAGAGTGCTTGGTGTGATTCATACCACAAGTTTCCTATTACAAACCCTGCCTGGCTGCAGCACTGTGACAGGTAGCTTCTCTCCTGTTCCCTTTGCCATGTCCAAGAGTAATCTCAGTGCGGTCCTCTTAGTTCCTAAACTAGGAGAATCTCCCGCTGTCCGGAATTACTGCCTTGGTACTCATTGTGCACCTGGCAGGGACTGAATGAGAGAGAGAACTGCATCTGTGTTATATTACAAAATGAAAGAACTTTAAAACCTGGTTAAATAAGGATCTAAAACTAGGGAGTGTGTGCTGAAGGGAAAATTGCCAGTAGCAACGCGATACCTATCGCACACTGTGAGTAACTCTGGCTAGATCTTCCAGCATTATGTTTCTGAGGTTGCATGGATTTACAGTTGTTGATGTGTGCTAGGTCAAATAAAAATCTTCTTCATCTGTTATATAGCCTAGTAATTGTGACGTTGTTAATTAACCTTTGTAGCCTGGCATTTATGACCTTGCTTCTTATCAGGTCTTGTGGAGGTGGAAGAAGGGGAGGTGAATGGACAAGAGCTGTCTATAGCTTCTCACTCCATAGCCAGGATCTCCTTTGCCAAGAAGCCCCATGTAGAGCAGGTGAGTTCACACTTCGTTAGCAATTCAAATAATATTGCTAGCCCCGGAGGGTGTCTAGTCGAGAGAACAGGCCGATTAATGCTTTAATTACCGATTACCCTCAGGTCTTGCAAATACTGCACAGCATCCTTGCTTATTTTCTGTGTAACAGTTTTCAGAAGCTGCTTCACAGATTACAAGGCGAGAAGAAATCATTCAGATAAGAACTGCCATGCTGAATCAGACCAGCCAACCCAGAATCCTATCTCCAACAAGGGCAGTGGCAGGTCCTTAGGGAAGAGAATAGGAAAGTCTTGTCTAAATAGTAGCACCGAGCCCACTGGAAGGGCCCACTCTGCAGGTATAGATCCCAGCCCTGCTGCCGGATCCTTCAGTCACTGGTCTTTTCCAGGTCTGCCTTCCACACCTGTGAGACAGACCATTCTGGCTATTCCATTAGTCATCAGAGATTTCCTCCTTTGCTGTTTGGTTTTCGTTCAGGAGATCAGAACCATCTGCTGCTGGTAATGGGTCAATACGGGCCCTTCAGAAACCCTCAGCTAAGGTCACGCATTGTGAAATAAATTCTTGTTAAAGATGAGTACATCTTGTATTCTTTTATTTGTCTTTTCCTGCTTCAGGAAGCAGCCCTGGTGCAGCACACAGGCTGAGCAGTGGCTGCAGCCAGCATTAGCTGAGGATGTGTTGATGAGGACGAGGTGTTCTGAAGTGAGCAGGAGTGCCAGTTGTGTGCTTGGCAGGCACTGGCTGCCGAAACGGAAGGGATGTGTTAGATACTGGCATTAGGCGCACGCTGCATGTGTAGGAACAGATGTATTAACGGGGTTGGATGCTGTCTTGGAGCATGCAGACTGGCAACAGCTTCTGGAAGTGCCCTGGAGTGACCTGCACTGGAAATGAACACATTTGCAAAAAACTCTTCTTTTTTTTTTTCCATGTCTTCAAGACAAGCTGAAAGTCTAGAGCAGCAGGAAATCTGGTGTCTTCCTGCTAGCCTGGGTTAGCACGCCCTCATTGCTTGTTATCCCCATGCTCTGACACAAGTTTATCTTGCTGCTTCCAGCACTTGTACCCTGTTTGGTAAACTTCCTCAAACCAAATCTTCCTGGGGTGCAGTGATACGCTGAGGTCACTTTGCAGCAAGCTCTGGGTCTCTGGAGATGTGTGAGAGAGCGGTTTGAGGAAGATCTAGAAAAAGGGATGCTCTCTATTTTTCCAAGTCAAATACTAAATCAGCCAAAGCTATCTTTAAAACAACAACAACAACAACAACAAAAAAAAAACAGTTATTCTGGAAAATCAACTCAATTTTATTTCTGAAAGAAATGGGGAGGATTCCATTGTCCTTGGGCAAGTTACTGCAGTAAAATGGAGGCGTTTTGTGAAAAACAGCAGGAATGAATTCCACTTTTGATTCAACTTTCAGCACAGTCTTAAAGAGAAGTGCAGAGTCCTCTTTCAGCACCGATGGATGAACCACTCAATGTTAATGTGAACGCGGCTCTTTGAAAAAGGCACTTGCTTTTTTAGCTTTTGTTTAAGGTGAAAGGGAACTGGTAGGAATACTGATGTGTGTACACTTAAGCGTATCCACTTGGCAAAAGCCTTATGGGAGTTATTGTTTTGAAAGTGCTTCATGAGTCCGTGGGATTCTTTTTGACTATACTGCGCTCCTAACAGTCTTTGCTTTCTTCTTGCTTGTAACGCACTGCATTTTAGAATTTTCTAAGTCAGGCTGATTTAAGTAACTGCCAGTTAATCATGCATGCAGGTTATCCTTGTCCCCAAGACTTTGTTTCTGTTCATCCCCGGGACTGTGTTCAGCATGGGAAGCACCAAATGGAACTAGGCACTCTAAACTGTTCTTTTGGATGATGTGCAGCAAATCTGCGCCAAAATCACTTGAAGGGCCAAAGCACTGTGTGTATGGGGGCCGTGCCGGACTGCCTTCTTAGAGCAGCTGTCACTCGGGGAGCTGCTGTGTCCTTTAAATCATCTGTATTGTTGTATTGTCCTTCTGCAGAGTCGGGCAGCTGGAGCAACGCACTGGAGTGTTATTTTGAAGCAAGAGCTGAGGTTTAACTATAATGGTTCCACTTCTCTCCTGCATTCCATAGACACCTAAGAGCAGGCTTACAACGTGTGCTATTCCCAGGCCCGAATGGTTAGGAAGCTGCTGAAAGCTGGGTTCTATTTGCACAGGTCCTAAGTTTTCTAGCTCCACAGAGTAACCGCAGGTTGTCCCCCTGGAGGTTTAGTGCAGTACAGGCAGACTCGCAGCCTGTCAGGTGGAAGGATGAGGAAGACGTTGCCAGCCAAACCCTCTGAGATGGCCAGCAGTGCTTCCTGGGCTGACCCGAGGTCAGAAGGCTCCAGTCCAGCCTCACCATACAGCATGAACAAAGCCGTTCTCTGTTGCAGAGAGTCAGTATGTTTTTTGGAGGCTGCCTTGAAAATGTCAGCCAGGACAGGGCATCTCCCTGAGCCTCCAGCCCGGTGCCCGTCTCCTGACAGCCAGGTGTTGGCTTGTTCATACCAAGGGGACGGCAGCGGTAGTGCCAAGACCTTTCCTCTCCCAGCACAGTGGCACCAGGCATGGCACCAATTCGCTAATTACTTTACAGCCACAGCAGCTAATTTTAGCAGAAGTTAATCTGTTTAATGCAGAGTCTTCCTGTTTGTTGACCCCACAAAACCTTCTCACTGAAACCCATCGTCAATCAAATAGAAAACTTGAAGTGGGGAATAGAACGTCAGAGCCACACACAAACCTGCTGTTTGAATGATTTCTTTCCTCAATTAAAAATGCTTAAATTTAAGCAAAGACAACAGGTCAACTGGGGATGATGTTCTTGGGGTTAGACCTGGTATTTTGGAAAGGGCTGCCCCCTCTAGGGGAAAAAGCTACTCATCGTTTTCTTGTATGGTTGCAGTGAGTGTAGCCTTTCCACAGTACGCTGACAGCAAAACACAAGTGTAGCAAAGGAAAGGCATAAAGCACAGTTAAGGATTTTTACCCTTAGATACCGTTTTCTTGATTTTATTACTGTTTTTCCTTATCTCCTTTTCAGATTACCAGAAAATTCAGGCTCAATTCTGATGGGAAGCTAGAGCAAACCGTCTCCATGGCAACCACTACGCAGCCCATGACCCAACACCTTCACATCACCTACAAAAAGGTGACGCCGTGATGCCCAGAGGGCCAGGGGTCTCCGTGCCGAGGGCGAGGAGCTGGACCTCGTGCCCCGAGAGCAGCGGCAGCTCAGGAACGCAGGACAGCAGAGCCCGGAGCTGGGCGCCTGCGCTCACCCCGGGCCGCTGCGGAGCTGCCCGTGCTGTTGAGAATGTTCCTCGGATGTTCCTGTAATGGTATATAAAAAAAAATAATAATAATAAAAGCTTTTATTTTTATGGCTGTGTCTCTTTGGGTGTGATTGCTGAGTGATCTGCGCGTCCCTCTGCTCTGGCAGTGGCTACAGAGGGCTTTTTTAACGCGTGTTAGTGTGCTGTGGGGGTAGAAGGGGTTGCTGATTCAGCCTTCTGGTCCTTCAGCTGTCATCTGAATGGTGACGCAGACGTGGCAGGGTCATGGGTTTGCATCACGGGGGCTGGCTGTGAGAACTCCAGCTCCTGCCCGATGAAATTCAGCGAGGGAGCACCTCTTGTGGTGGGACGGAGCTGCTGCAGGACCTGCTCCTGATGGTGCCACTCAGGTGACTTGAAAAGATGTTGGGCTGCGCTGTGTTTGCATGGGATGGGGCAGTCTTGGAGGCAAGGACCAGGCCTTCTCTGGCTTCAGCGCAGAGTATCACAAGAGTATGGCTTAAGACCCTGAATCAATGAGCAGCAAGAGAAACTTTAAGTAGTGGGGATTGATCTCAGCAATTCTTTTTTGAGCTTGGTATTCATGATTCAGCATTTGACCATCATAAAATGTTATCGGGTCCCTCAGCAGTGAGGGAGACAAATCTAGAGCTGCTTCTGGTCTCCAGCAGAGATGAGACAAGAGCTAGAGGTATCCACAGTGTGAGAGGTATCCTCAGGGACGGGGAAGGATGGGGTGGGCGTTGAGCTGTCAGAGGTCTGGGTGCCACTGGGAAGGTCGGGCTGGGAGTCAGGGGATCCCAAGGGACTCGGTGCCAGCAGCTGTAGGAAGCTGGGCTCGGGGGTTTTGCCTTCAGGTGTCGAAGGGAGCTAGAGATGTCATGATCAAACCTTTCCTTACAGCGTGTTTGAATTATATAAACAGAAAAATCCGTGATTTAGAACAATAATGCTGCTTTCATAAGGTTACAGAAAAAATGTGGTGGGGGAGTTTTGTGTGTTCAGACAACACTTCCTGAACCACCCAGGGTCAAAGATTTGCCCAAAGGGTGTGTGTTTGTAGGTGTCTGGGTGGCCACCAAGGTGGGCCGGCGGCAGCTGGTCCCCTCAGAGCTGCGGTCCCCAGGGCATCGGCCGGCCCTGGTGAGGGCACGAGGCTGGCCCTGTAATGGATCCTCACCGGGCAGTTACCGTTTGAAGGCTTTGATCTCCTGCTTCTTGATTTTATTCCAACCCCTCGATTGAATTTCCCTCGTGTAACTGAGCTGGGCTGATACACTCTGCCCATATATAATGGATGGAGGTTGAGTGAGGAAACGCAAACACTGCTGAATATCAGTAACAGGCGGGCGGGCGGCGCCGCGGGCCCTGCTGCCCAGGCCTCCTCCCTGCTGGTGCCAGCCCTTGGTATGGGCTGCATTAGCACGGGCTTCATTTAGTATTACTAAATACTCCCCCAATCCCCCAAATATCCCTTTCCAGTGACAGGAACGGAGCAGAGCACCCAGCCCACCACCAGCAGGGCGATGGGGCCGTGCCCGCAGCTGTGGGTGTTGCTGTGTGCTCACAGGAGCCCGTACGGCCCCTCGCTGGTCCAGAGACACCCCGGGGATGTGGCAGGACCAGGCCTGGCGCTGCCACCTGATGCCCCCATCAAATATTAACGCGCCATGGGCTGTGCTGTGCACGGCAGAGCACACGGCAGACACAGCCCTGCTGCCTCTCCTCCCGCTGCGGGGCTCGGGGGGCTCCCACGGCCACAGCTGGGCGTTATCTGGGGCTGGATCATCCCTGCTTGACCCCGAGCAGTGCGGCGGCTTACAGCAGGACGGTAACCGCCAGGTTCTGCATTTCTTCCTTCTCCACGGCGTCCCGTTCCCCCCGAAGCCCGTTACTGAAGCGAGCGAGGCCGCCGTATCAGCCGCATCTTTGGCTCCACAGCGGGGGAGGCGGGCCGGCAGCCGGTGCCGGCCGACACATTTGCTTCACTAATGAGGCTCCTTCCTTTCAAGGGCTTTTAGATAACACCGGGGGGCTGCGAGCAAGCAGCAGCGGGATCCGGTTGCTCGGTTTTTGCCTGGCACAAGGTGCGGGCAGCTCCGAGTGCCCAGCTCCATGCCTCCTGGGGCCCCCGGGACAAACCCCCCCGGCTGAGCCCCGTCTCCTGCGTGCAGCCCTGTGAGCAGCACACACGGTGGGCACCTGCAGCAGCGAGCCCCAAGGTAAGCAGGGCAGCCGGCGAGCTGCGTGAGTCCACGTGCTGGTGGGCTCTCTGATCCCTTTGGAGGTGCTGGATCCGTCCAGCAGAGCGTTCGTCCCCTGGGAGAAGGGACAGACGGGCAGGGGGGGCAGGGGAAGGGCCAGCAGTGGCAGGGGTGGCCCCAAGGGGCTGTAGACGCAGGGGTCCCCTGCGACATGGGCAATTGCCTGTGTCCCCCAGGAAAATGGGGGGGGCTGGGTCTCTGCAGCTCCTTACTCTTCATTAAAGGGAAAAAAAAATGTCAGGTTTGTCATGGTTTTGGATGACATGACTTTGGTGCATGACTTTGGTTTGGGACTGACCTGGTTTTGCAGCTGGAGCTACAGGTAGAAAAAAAAAAAAAAAAAAAAAAAAAAAGAGAGAGAAAAAAGAAAGAGTAAAAGGGGAACATGAAAAAGTCAGAACAGTTTGCTTTGGTCCCTATGTTGAGTGAGTGGTTTAAGCCCCTCCGACTTCACACATAATGCTTCATTTCCACCCCACCCAGAGCCTTCACACCCCGGGGCAGCCGCTTCCCCTGCGTTTCGACTCAGCTTGGCAAGCAGAGCAATGCCGCCCGCTGGCACCCACCCAAGCAGGTCAGGAAAGTGTCTGCGGTGGCTGGGGCCAGTGCTGGCTCGGCAGGGTGGGAACGCGGCCAGGAGAAGCCTCCCCTGCCCCGGCTGGAGGCAGGGTGCCTGCCGAGTGTGGTGGGTTGGCCTCACCCCCCACATGCCTTGGCTGTGCCCAGGGGTCAGGCTGGGTTGCAAACCGTGCCCTGGACGTGCAAAAATGCAGGTCTGCCCGTGGGGAAAGGCTGTGTTTGTCTAGGAAGAGCCCTCAGCGAGCCTGCCCTGCCAGGGGTGATGTGCTGGGCATCACTGCCGGGACCGCTATCCAGCGATCACCCAGTGGTGGGGGGGGACACACAGAGGCACTGCGACTCCCCCGGGAAAATCTCCCCTTCTCTGCACCCCTCCAGGTTCAGCAGCGAATGAATCCTCCTGCTGGTTGCCCTCTCCAGGACAAGGGGCTCTCCCCACAGCACCACCCTGCACCAGCACATCCTGGCTTTGCCCTGTGGCCTGGGCTCAGAGCCAGGGTCCCCAGGCTGGGGCAGTGCCGCAGCAGCAGCTGAGGGAGCTGCTGGGCCCCCACGCTGCCAGGAGCTGCGCCGCCAGATGTTTTCACGGCTTTTCCCAGTTCTCCTCATCTACCCGCCAGCATTTTTCCCTAGAAAGAAGAAATGTCTGTAAATGCTTCCCTACCCGCACCCTGCCAGGCAGGGGATGGCTTCTCCTGCCCCTCCCCGTGCCTCCCCAGCAGAGCAGGGATGTGAAGCCCACCCTGCCCTGCTCCCGCTCCCCCAGCACGTCCCCGTGCCTCCCTTCCCAGCAGTGACCCGGCCCCGAGGGGGATGCAGCCCAGCAGGTCACCGCTGCCGGAGCTGAAGCTCCGCAAACCCATGCAGCGGGCCAGGATCCCGGCGCCCTTCATCAATCCGGTACGTCGCCAGCTCCGTCCACCACCCGCTGCTGCCATTTCTGCCCTTTCCCTCGGCTCAGAGCCTGCAGGGACCACCCTGTGCCCTGGCAGGACCCCCCCAGCGCTGCCGTGCCAGACCCCGTGGATGTGGACACCCTGGTGCCCACGCACGACGAGCGGGGCCGCCTCATCCCCGAGTGGAAGCGGCAGGTGATGGTGCGCCGGCTGCGCGCCCGGCTGGCCGACGAGGTGGAGGTGTGCGAGCAGGTACCGCTGGGCTGGGGGTGGGACACGGTGGGGCCCTGCCAACACCACCATCTGACGGGCCTCCTGCCGCAGGAGCCGGGTGCCTGGCGCTTCTCGCCATCCCACGAGGCGGTGCTGGGCCCTTTCGGGGAGCTGCTGACAGGAGGGGGACCTGCAGCAGCTGGAGTGGGCGGTGGAGAGCCTGAGGCTGCGGCGGCGTGGCGAGGCCTACCAGGGCGAGCTGCAGCGCCTGGCGCAGGAGCTGCGCGCCCTCCTGCCCTCCCCACTGCTCAGCATCACCGTCCACAGCCCCCCGCCCTGCCCCGGGGCAGCCCCTGCCCCTCTGGTGCGGCCGCCTGGCTGGCGTGGTGGGCAGCCTGGCTACGCTGCTGGCCAACGCCGAGGGGGCTCGCGCCACCCCCGGTGCCCACCCCGCTGCCCGCTGCCCCGCTGCCCGCAGCCCCCCGGACACCGGCGGGCAGCCTGGCGCAGCGGGAGATCCGGCAGTGCGGGGTAAACGTCCGCAGCCTGCGCGGCGCCTTCGAGCGCCACGGTGGTGGCAGCGCTGGGAAGAGCGAGCCCGGGGCGGTGGAGGCCGCCAGCGACTCGGGGATCAGCTGCGAGGAAGCGCTGTCGGACGGCAGCGGGTCGCCGGTGCCGGAGTCGTCCGGGCTGCGCAAGGAGCGCATCGTGCTGCTCTTCCTGAGCCACTGGAAGCGCTCGGCCGGCGGCCCCCAACCCCTGGGCCACAGCCTGCCGGGCGCTGCAGGCCCAGCGGGACGCAGGCGGGTGCTCCCGGGGCCGAGGAGGGCTGAGCAGGGTGGGCCGCCTGTCGCGGCAGAGGAGCGCCATCCAGCAGCTCCTGGGCAGCTGGAGGGACGCGGCCGCCCACCCACCACCGCCACCTCCCGCCGGCGGCCCCCGCGCCCCCCTGTCCCCCTGAGCAGTTCGTGCGGCGGGCTGACGGGACGCCGGCCGACTACGACAGCCTCACCCTCGAGCTCTTCATGCTGGGCTACTTCCGCATCTTGGAGCAGGACCTGGCCCCCGAGGAGCGCCGGGGCCGGCACCTGCTCTGCTTCGAGGTGTTCGACCACCTGGGCCGGCACGGCTGGGAGGCCGCGCGCGCCTTCCACCGCGCCGTCACCGACGAAATCGCTGCTGGCCGGCGCAGCTGGAAGGACAGCTTCGAGGACATCAAGGCGAGGTATTTCGGCACCACCAAGGGCTCAGCCTGGCTGCCGGGGATGGCCAGGGGGAGCCCCCCGCAGCCCGGAGCCCGCAGGCCGGCCATGGGCCACAGCAGCGAGGAGATCTGCAGGTGCATCGACCGCAGCTTCGCCTTCTGGAAGGAGAAGGAGGCCGAGATCTTCAGCTTTGAGGAGTGACGCCTCCCACCTCCCTGTGCCCCCCAGCAATGCCCGTCTGCCCTCCCCGCTTTGCGAAGGGCTTTTGTCCCGTGGGGGCTTAAATAAAAGCGGTTCAGTTTTGTCTTGAGACAAGTGCTGTGGACGTGAGGGCTTTCCCAAGGAGCTCGAGAAGTTTTGGGGTGACGAAGAAAGCCTTTGGTCCCAGCCTGAGTGCTCCAGTGCTGGCAAGACCCCGTGGGGCACCCCGCAGCCTCGGTGCCAGGCAGGCGGCCACTGGGATTTATCAGCTGCCGCCCGCGGGGGGGGGGACAGGGCGCGTGCGGCCCTCCGGGGTGAGATAACAGCCTATATTTAACAGCCAGCCCCAGCCGGGAGGGAGAAAGGCAGCAGGTTGGGATGACTAATGGGTTTGGGGGGTGTCCTGTCCCTCGTTACGCACACGCAGTGGTCCCGCTCACCCGGGGAGGGACGTGTTCCCCAGCACGTACCCCCGGGTGCTGCCGCAAGGCTGTGGGGCGAGCAGGCTGAGCGGCTCTGCCCTGCCGGTGCCTTTAAGAGCAGCTGGCTGGGGAAGAGCAATGTCCCCACGCCAGCTAAAAATACCCCCCCCAGCTCAGCCCCCACCACCACCCCGGGTGTCCCTCCCAAACCCCGGCCACTTCCCTCCCGGCGGGGGCAGCTGGATGGGACACCGCGCGCTCCCAGCGGGGCAAACCCAGGTAGGAGCGGGGACAGCTGCGGGGCTGAGCCCCGATGGGGGCTGAACACCACCTGGGGGGGTGTGAGGGGCTGTGGGTGGGGAGGGGGCCAAACCCAGGGGCACCGAAGCCTCGCTGGCTGGGCTGGATGCTTGGGCTGAGCCGCACTGGGAAGGGGGTTTCGTCGCCATGTGCCCCCCAGGCACCGTAGGGGGGCATCGCAGAGGGTCCCCAGGGGAATGCCCCACGCTCTGAGCTGAAGCAAGGTGACCCCAGCCCCCAAACCACCCCCCCCCCCAGCTCTCCTTCCCCTCCCTGAAAAATTGGTGGCAGCCCCAGCCGGGCAGCTCAGCCCCATGACACCAACACGGGGTGGGGAGAACGCAGCCGCCGGGGAGCTGCAAGCAGAGGGGGGAGCACAGGGCTCCTGAAATCCCTTCTCCTGCCCCAGCTGACGCCTGTAAATCACACGGGTGCCGCCAAGAAGGCGCGGTTGTGCCAGGAAGGAGGCACCGGTCAGTCATTGCCTTCTCCCGGCAGGAACGCCCTCAGCCACGCTCAGCCCGGGCTCCTTCCTCCAGCTGGGACCCGCGGCCTCCTCGGCGGCCGAGCCCAGCGCCATGGTGAGGAACGTGGATGACTTCGACTTCTGCCTGCCGTCGCACGCCCAGGGCGTGCTGGAGGGGCTGCAGCGGCTGCGCTCCCACCCCAAGCTGTCGGATGTGCTGCTGCTGGCCGGGGGGAGGGAGTTCCCCTGCCACCGCGGCGTCCTGGCCCTCTGCAGCCACTACTTCCACGCCATGTTCTCCGGGGACTTCGCCGAGAGCATCGCGGCCCGCGTGGAGCTGAAGGAGGTGGACCCGGCCGCCCTGGAGACGCTGCTGGACTTCGCCTACACGGGGAAGGTCACCATCAACCAGGGCAACGTGGAGGGGCTGATGAGGACGTCCAGCCAGCTGCACTTCCCCACCATCCAGAAGGCCTGCAGCCGCTACCTGCGGCAGCAGATGGACGCCACCAACTGCCTAGGTATCTGCGAGTTCGCAGAGAGCCACGGCTGCCCCGAGGTGTCCTCCAAGGCCTGGTCTTTCTTGCAGGAGAACTTTGAGGCCGTGTCTCAGCAGGAGGAGTTCCTGCAGCTCTCCAAGGAGAGGCTGGCCGTCTACCTCTCCAACGAGCAGCTGCAGGTGCAGGAGGAGCAGAGCGTGGCTGAGGCCGTGCTGCGCTGGGTGCGCCACGACCCGGGGCCCCGAGCCCAGTTCCTGCCCGAGCTGCTGGAGCTGGCCCACCTGGTCTCGCTGCCGGACCAGTACCTCCAGAACCTGCTCGCTGCCGAGCCCCTCGTCCGTGATTCAGCCGCCAGCAAGGCCCTCGTGGCCCGGTCCCGCGCCGCGGTCAGCAGTGGTGAGGTCTCCACCGCCCCGCAGAAGCAGAGCCCACCGCAGAAGCTGGAGGAGGTGCTGGTGGTGGTGGGCGGCCGGGTGCTGGAGGAGAGCGAGGATGAGGAAGGGGGGCTGGAAATGCCGGCTGCCCCCAGGAACTTTGCCTTCTACAACCCTAAAAGCCGTAAGTGCCTGTGGCAGGAATGCGCAGGGTGAATGCACATCCCTGGCGTGTTCGTTGTCCCCATTGTGTCCCAAAGCTGCCCCCTGGCCCTGCTGTGGGACAGACTGGGATGGAGGGTTCAGCTCCTTCCCACCAAACTGAGATGGAGAGAAACAGTGGGGGGGGATTCCCACTCCCAAACCATCCATCAACACGGGGATATTTTGGGGAGAAAGCATGAAACAGAGCGAGTTGAAAGGTGTGACCCCTGAGATGCTGCCCCCATCCCTGAGGGACCGGGGGGGGATGTCCCCAGCCTGCGAGCGGGGCTCACAGCGGGGCTCTGCTGGGTTTCAGGGCAATGGATCGCTCTGCCCGACTTCCCTGACTACAACAAGTGGGGCTTCTCCCTGGTGGCGCTGAACAACGACGTCTATGTCACAGGTAGGTGCTGATGGGGGGGGTCCAGCATCTCCGCAGGGACCAGCCATGGGGCTGTGATGCAGGCACGGGCCTTGGGCCACCCCCTTCTACCAAGCAAAGCCTTCTCCTTGCTCTTTCGGGCGAGGGACGTGCTGGGGTGGCTGCTCTTGGTGGGTGCCCAGCCTGAGCCACATCCCTGCCCTGTTCCAGGTGGCTCCCGGGGGTCCCAGAATGACACGTGGTCGACAACCCAGGCCTGGCGCTTCTGCCCCAAGGACGGAGCCTGGACACCCATCGCCTCCATGCTGCGAGCCCGGACGAACCACACCAGCGCCGTCCTCAACGGCGAGATCTACGTCATCGGGGGTAAGGCGCTGCCGGGGGGCGGGCGGGTGGGCTGGTGGCGTGGCCCCGGGGGGCTGCAGTGTCCCACCGCCCCGCAGGGACCACGGTGGAGGTGGTGGAGGTGGAGCGCTACGACCCCTACAACCAGAGCTGGTGCGCCATCAGCCCGGCCCTCAAGTACGTCAGCAACTTCGCCGCCACCGGCTGCCTGGGCAAGCTCTACCTCGTGGGCTCCTGCGCCGTCAAGTACAACGCGCTCACCCTGCAGTGCTACAACCCCGTGCGAGGTGAGCTCCCACCCCAAGGGCATGGGAGCCTCGGATCAGATGGGGAGCACGTGGTGCCAGCCTGCCTGGCTGCTCCGTGCCCTTTCCAACGCTCCTGTAAAGAGCTGTGGGGCTGGGGGTGTTTTTTTTTTGGGGGGGTGGAGGTACAGCAGCAGCCCAGCCTGTGGTGCGCTCGCCCAGCATGGTGCTGGCTGCTCCTTGCAGATCTGTGGAGCGTGATCACGTCCCCCTTCATCCCCAAGTACCTGTCGGCCCCGCGCTGTGCCACCCTGCATGGGCTCATCTACCTCATCGGGGACAACACCAAGAAGGTCCACGTCTATGACCCGGAGGCAAACATCTGGCAGAAGGTACCGACCGGGTGCTCCAGGGGCACGGCCTTCACACCGCGTTCTGATTTTAGGCAGTTTGTGCTTATTTTTCCAGCACCACCTTCCATGGGGTGTGTGGGGCTGCTGCATGCACAGCCCAGCGCCGTCCTGCCTCTACCCCCACGCCTCCCATCCCACGGGATCCCAACCCTTGCTTCTGCATGAGCATGATGTGGGGACACTGCTAAAAATTAGGCAGGGCCACGAGTAAGCCGTGGGCCCGGCAGGACCCCGAAGCTCACTGACCCCAAACCTGCCCATGCCCCTGTCGCAGGTGCAGCTCCTGCACACGCTGCATGAGAACGGCGGGATGGTGCCGCTGGGCGACCGGCTCTTCGTCACTGGTGGCCACTGGAAGGGCATGGACGGGGACTACCGGGTGGAGATGGAGGTGTACGACTGCGCCAAGGACCGCTGGACGCGGGAAGGCTCGCTGCCCTGCCTCTGGCTCTTCCACAGCTCCTCCTCCATCTTCATGGACACCTCCAAGTGGACAGAGGCTTTCCAGGGTGACCATGGGTGGTAGGAGCACCCGCAGCAGTGCCTGCGGGCTCGGCCACAGCCTAGAGGGAGCTGCTCGGGCTCGTGGCCCCGGCAGCACGGTCACCCCGTGAGCTGACAGCTCCAGCTCCCGACCTGGCCCTCCCTGGGGAGGGGAGGTGGGAACACGCAGCCACCACGGGGTAAAAGGCTTCTCCTTCCCACCACACTTCGGCCGGGGATTTTTTTTTTTAGTTTGTTTTTTAAGGACTGCCTCTTTGCCCTCTGAAATCCCCACGCTTTTCATGGTGTTTGGAGGGAGACGCGCTCACCCAGCACACCGCTGCTTCCCAGTGCTCCCCCTTTCCCCATGGCTTTGATTTCCAGAAGACAAGGGGGTATTGGGGCGCATCTTCCCGTCCCAATACCTACCCGTGGAAGCTGCACTTTGGCGGCTCCTTCCCAGCTCTGGCACTTGTTGCCCTGTTCCTGGGCTGCACGTGAAGCACCCCCCTGGAGGCCAACGCGGCCCCCAGCAGCATGCTCCTGGGCTGCCAGGGTTGTTTGCCCATGAAGCTGTTCCGTGTTGTGGTTGTTGCTTTGTGACCCATTAAACGTGCACAACGAGGAGCTCTGCGTGTCGGGGTTGGGGACCCCTGCTTCACTCGGGGCATCCCAAGCATCCTCCCCAGTGGCACAAAACTGCTGCTGAAGCCGGAGCTACCGGGAGGGGGCTAAGTGCAGGGCTGGAAGCTTGCTCAGCACCAAGGGGAGCATAGAAGGCTTCTACACAGGCCCCCTGCCCACAAAGCGGGGTGGTCCCAGCCCTCACCCCAGTCCCTTGATGGTGCCCAGCCCATGTGGCAGGGCTGAGTTATTCGCAGGAAGCCCCCTGCGGACCCCACCCTGCCGAGAACTGCAGGCAAGCTGCTGCCTGCCCCCCAGTGCGTCCTCCCAGCCCTGCCACGATGAAGCTGCTACAATCCACTCCACAGAAATAGTTACTGGCAGTACCACGACGCCAAGTCGCCAAGTGCTGCGTGCCTCCCTGCAGGCGTGCTGTCGGCACTCACTCTAAAAGGCAGGAGAGGAGGGCAAGTTCTCCTCCCAAGACCTGTTATCAGGTTTTCTTTGGCCATGGGCTGAATAAAACCACGTTCTCTCCAAATTCAGCTTGCAGGAGCTAAGCTGGGCAATTCCCACTGCATCCACAGCAGTGCAGCCTCGTGTGGGAGCACGCAAACAGGGCTGGGAGCAGAACAAGCTGGGAGAGGTGAGCTGGGGCTCCAGCACAAGATGTGGAAGCATTGCTGAGCCCACAACAGGGCCATGAGGGTGAGCAAGGGGCTCGAGCACCTCTGCCATGAGGACAGGCTGAGGCAAGGGGGGGTGTTCTGCTCAGAGAAGGCCCCGGGGAGACCTTATAGCGGCCTTCCTGTACCTAAAGGGGGCTGCAGGAAAGCTGGGGAGGGACGGTGTCAGGGAGGGGAGCGTCCTTAAGCTAAGAGGTAGATTTAGATTAGATATTATGAAGAAAGTCTTTACTCAGAGGGTGGTGAGGTCCTGGCAGAGGCTGCCCAGGCCCTGAACACTCAGAACTCTCCCTGGGCCTCACACGAAGCTCAAGGAAACAACAAACCTGCTCCATTTGACTGGGGGGCTGACCGTGCACAAAGATGCCTCCTCCCACCAGCGCCTCCGCCACTCAGATTTATTTGGTTTGTCAGGACAGCTGGGGGAAGAGGGGTGACAGGACACAAGATTCCCACACAGCTCGATCCACTACAGCAGCCACTCAGAAAACAGTGCTAGCCAAGTAAACTAAAACTATTAGAAAAAAAAACCAAAACACTTTATTTACACCGAGGAGCACCCAGCAGGAGCCTCCCTCCCCCAGCCACGCAGGCACCCGCGCCAGCTTCTCCCATCTTGACATCTGCCACAAGCTGGGGCCCTGCTGCTGCCCCTCCTCGTTCAGTGCTCTATCCGGACCACCATGACCGTAACGTTGTCTGCCGACCCTCGCTGCACCGCCTTGTTGGCCAGTCTGTTACAGGCAGCCTCGTATCTGGCGTCTGCTTCCAGCTTCCCTTCTCTCACCTGGATGTTCTTATCCTGTCGGGACAAAGAAGAGACAATGCCGCCTGCTCCCAGCGAGTGCCTCGCCCCAGCACGTGGCTATTTCTGAGCACAGAAAAGCAAAACAAAGGAGGACAACCTCTGGTACAGGGAGCAGCCCCTGGCAGAAGTATATTTCTGCACTGCTCGCTCTTTGTTCAGCTCATTAGCCTGGAGGGAGCGAGTCACATACTATTTCATGCCTCCTGCGCTGACAAAAGATTGCGTGAGTAACCCAGCCCCCAAGCTGCCTTCCCTCACCTCGAGGCAGGATACGATGAAGTTCACAGCTTCTTCTGGCGTAAAGACTTTAAAGAGGCCATCACATGCTATCAGGATGAACCTGGAAATCAAATAAAGACAGGTTTCAAATAAAGTCAGGTTAGAGGCTGAAGCTTCGACTCCCCAGCTAAAGCAAACTCCCTCCATGCAATTTTATGAGCAGCCATGCTTCATTCCAAAGGGACAATGCCGTAAAGCTCATCAGAGGCACCGTGAGTCCCCTAGTGGTCTGGCACTTACCATTCACGGAGCTGAGGCAGTTCAAAGTACATGCTAACGAGTTAGAAAAGCCATGTCAGACCTACATCAGCACACCCTGCAGGACATACGGACACCACGCAGCTCAGCAAGACCACATCCTGTGTCTCTGCGACCTGCTGGAAAGCTCCACCACTTTTCTAGGTACTGCTCTGAGTCCCTTTCATTCACAGATTTTCCCTTCTAGGCAGCTAGTGCGTGGAAATAAAGTATTCAGCTGGCTGTGTTCCTCTAAGTGTGCTCCTTTAAAAAACTGTGCTCCTGCGGTAAGCAACAATTAGAAAGACTACAAAAAATAAAAAAAAATAATTAAAAAAAAAGGGAGCAGCTTAGTTCAGGCAAGAGGCTTAACTGTGACAGCAAAGTCCTGCCAAAGCCCCAGAGGTGGAGAGCTGCCTCCGAGCCCCCCATGCAGGGTGAGGGAAACATCTCGCTGTGTGCTCCCTGCCTGCACGGGGATCTGCATTCACTGGGAGCTCCAGCTGGAGCCACCGGATGAGGAAACCTACAGCCAAGAGCAGCACAAGCCTCTGAAGGCATTTGCAGAGCCTGATGTTCAAAATATCCTTAGAAATGTTTCAGTGGATCTCTCGCTACAGACCTCTTATTGCACAGGGTTACCTGGTCACCTGAGAGCATTCAGGGTTGTACTGACCCAAATGTGATTTACCACCGCCAACCGCTTGTTGGAAAAAGCATCTCAAAGCTTCAAAAATCAGAGCTAAATATAACGCTATGTGTGGGCACCACAGCTGCTAGAAACACATCCGAGATCCAAGGGTTGGATCCAGGATCCAAGCACAGAGATCCGAGGATTCCAGCTTTAAGCAGCTGCCTGGACACTGGTGTGCGAGGTTATTCAGGGCACAGAGGCAGGCTGAGGCTTGTGTGTGTTAGCACTGCTGCGAGCCCCGGTTCTGCATCAGGAGCTTTCACAGCACCGTGGCACAACCCCCACGTACTGGTGTGTGATGGGAGCAGCAAGAACAGCTTTTACTTGGGGGCGATGAGCCCGGAGTGCCTCAGCCCCGGCAGCAAAGCGCAGGGCGTGCAGCTCGGGTCTCTGCCGAGCAGAGCCAGGGCACAGCAACCCCCCCGTGTGGGCACGGCCTACCTGTCATTGTGCATGAGCTGGCAGCGTTTGATGTCTGGCACGGAGATAACACCGCAGCGCTTGTACTGGCCATCCCCGATGGAGCGGGAAACCTCCAGCACTCCCAGGACTCTGCCATCCCTGCACAAGGAAAGAGAACATCAGTTCCCCCCGAAATATAGGCATCTGCCTGACAGGGCCCCTGTGTTCTGCCTGTCAGGACCCCAGCCCCTGTAGGTTGGCTCAGCTGCTGGCAGTTCAAAGGAGCAAGAACTACAGCAGCTGCTCCTTGCTCTTCACTAAAAAAAAAAATCTCATCACAGCAGCCAGTCCTGTGAAATTCACATTACAAAGCTCAGGAAGCAGCCTTAAGTGTTAAACCTCTCCAATTACAGAGTGCTGCCCCCACAGAAGCAGCTTCCCACACTCCACCTTCTAATGATTGAATACCTTCTCCCCCAAGAAGATTATTTCTGTGCACTCTATAAAGACGGGGCTGTAGTCCAGCCAGCCCTGCCCTGGATAAAAACCAGAGTCACAGAAGAGATCCGATGCTCATGCGCTTTGCTACTGATCTCTTAGGTCCAACATATTGCAGCACGATGATTTTGTAAAGATTTTAAATCTACCAGTGGAGAGACTCCCAGGCAGCTGGGGAGCTGTTCCTCCCGTTCTGAGGAGAGCTAACAGGCTGGCCCAGCTCCTGCCTGCCTGCAGACATGGATCAGTGCTAAGCAGGAGCAGCAGCACGCGCTCTCCAGAGACAACAGGAACGAGGCCCTCCAGACGCTGCAGCGAGACAGGACGGAGCTCACTGCACTCTGCCTCTGCGGGTGCTGAGGAGGCCCTGAGACACCTCACCTGCACCCAGTCTGGCACAGGTGTCATTAGATCAAGACACAGCCTCCAAAAGGAGAGAACATCATCAGCACACCAAACACTGCTGCTGTGCTTAGCACCAGCCACACACCCCTACGTGCACAGCTGCGTTACGACAATCCCATCACAGCTCCAAGATTTCCCTTTTGCTCCGCACAGCCTCAGTGCGGCAGCTAACCCCTCCGGGCTGTCACTAGCAGGCAGCCCTGCGGAGACCCAGCAGCTCCGCTCTCAGGCCTGGAGTCAGACCAGGGTTTGGATTTGCTTGCTCGTCACCTTTGGGCGCTCACCTGACATTTCCCCCAGCTTTCTGTATCCGCATGCGCTCCTCGTACTGGGTGGGGTTGTGCTCCTTGCTGAGGCTCAAGGCCGTGTGCTTCTGACTCTCTTCATTGTACCGACACAGGATCGCCTGTGCTGACAGAAGACCCGCGTGAGTAAACAACAACAGAACCGCAGGAAGAGCTCCTGGGCAGAGAGCTGTACGCTCAGGCTCTCTGTGCATCCAAAATGAAAGACAGCTTGAACACTGAGAGGCAGCTGTCATCTCTCCTGCACGGAGTACGTAAGGATTGCAGTGTTTCCCCTGTATCACCTGCCCGCCAACAATAAGGAAGGTAACAGACATCACCCTGCAGAGCTAGCGAGGCTTGCAGAGGAGCTGAGATGCCAGCAGTGGGCTTCTCTGTTCCGCTTACCCGGCTGTCCCCCAGGTTGGCGATGTAGAGGATGTTGTCAACAGCTAGGACACAGGTCGCTGTGGAGCCATCCTTCCACGCCGGCTTCCTGAAGGGAGCAACAAGATTACTAAGGGGGAAAACAGCTTTTGAGAATTTGGTGACAAAATACTCCTGGGGACCGAAGAAAGAAGTGCCTGTGCAGGGACACTCAGCAGGCAGCAGCTCGGGAAGCCACGGGTGGTGAAGAGCAGGCTGGCTAGGGACAGAGGAGCTACGCAGACCATCACCTTCTGAACACATCCCCACACCTTCCTCGTGCT